AAAAAAAAAAAAAAAAAAAAAAGCAAGCATGACCCTACCAGCACCTTGATTTGATTTTATACTTCTTACTTCCAGAACTGTAAAGAATAAATTTGTATTGTTTTAAGTAGCCAAGCTTATGGTTATTAAGAAGCCCAAGGAAACTAATACACATTCATATTTTATTTAGCCTGGGGTGGTGTGCCATTTCCAAACATATTCCTACTTTCTTGCATTTGCTCATTCTACTTTTAAGCCTGAAACATTCTTCTTTCACATCTATTCACATTCAAACTGTACTCACTTTAAAAGACTCAGCTATAATGCTAACTTTTTTTTTTAAGACCAGGTCTCACTATGTAGTACAGGATGGCCTCAAACTCCCATGATTCTTCTGCTTCTGCCTCTTGAATGCTGAGATTACAGACGTGGGCTACCACACTGGCCTGTAAAGCCACCTTGATGAGGCCTGGCCTCCTTCTCTCTCTTCTTCATGTTAAAATAAGATTATCTACCTTATAAACTCAAATCTTTTCTCCTGTTCATCTATTCTTTCCTACCAGATTCTAAAATTCTGCATAATTTTTTAGTAACATCCCTAACACAAAACCCCATAGCAAATACTATGCATCAGTACTTATTTGCTGCTAAGTTAAGAATAACTAAGAACCTAAAAGGCCCTTCAAGTGTCTGCCAAGTTGGTAGTTTAGGGAATTTCCAAGACACTATTTTAATGTCTCTCCTTCAGTTTCTATAATTAAACACACACACACACACACACACACACACACACACACTAATCTCACAGTGACTTTCTATTAAACATACTATTGAAAGAACTAAAATATGAAATCTCTCTAAAAATTACAATTCCAGGACTTTCAATACCACAGATAATTATGCTCTTCTATAAACATTACATCCCACCATTATCAAAATTAACTATTTTCTCTTGTCCAGAAAGGAGTCAAGTGGGAACAAGACAAATCAATAAACCTTTCTGTATTTGAGAAATGGTGTCAATGCTGAGACAAAAGGACCATGGGGGTCACTGTTAAATACACCTCAATGACAATCAATCCAAATATTCTAGGCCTGAGATAGGACAGCAGACTCAATGGCCTATTCATGCATGGACTTCAGAAGAAATTCTAACCACCCCAAAATGACTGTACTAACTTCAGAACTGAAGTCAGTGGTGATTATAAATAGCTAAACTAAAAAATAAATAAATAAATAGCTCAACTTCTACTTTAAACATATAATATCATATACTTGAGAATTTAGAGTACATTTTAGATAATCACTTTACACAATCATGATAAAGTATAAGTGTGGGTACTAAAATCTTGTAGCCATACTAGGTTATAAAGCAATCCTAACCTATGGCTGGGGATTTAGCTCAGTGGTGGTTCTGCCACAAGAGTTCAATACCTGGTACCCCCCCCCAAAAAAAATCTGGTTATACTTCTTAAGTTATTAAATGAAATACCTCTGGGAATTTAAACAAATCACATAACTTCACTGCTTTCTTGACCTTCTGTATTGAATATTACGTTATAATCTAAAAGTACTTTAAACTTGTCACCATTCAGTACACTACGTTTTTCTTCTCCTCCATAACTCTACTACTTGGGAAAGTCACTAAATAAATGTGTCTACTGTAAATTGTAAAACGACCCAAGCAAATGCAGGAGTGGCAGCACTCCTGTAATCCCAGCAATGGGAAGGAAGGATGAGGCAGGATTTCCAGGAATTTGAGGCCAGCCTAGGTTACATAGTGAGTTCAAGGACAGCCCAAACTACATAGCGAGACAACTGTCTCAAAAAAAAAAAAAGTAAACACATAAATAAAATGACCAAAGTAAAAATGAGCAAAAGTATAATTTATATATTTTAATTGTAAAAATTATTTTGAAAAAAATGTATAATCTAATTTTGTCTTATAATTGAAGAGTTGATAAATAATAGGCAATATATACTAATGTAGTTTTTACAATTTTAAAAAAAACCCTTACTTCAGATTACCCACCAAATACAGCACGGGCCAAATTCCCAGTATAAATCAGCCTTCCATCTTCTGATTTGCCAACTTGGGTATGAGAATATCGAACACATCCTTCCCAGCAAGCAGGTATCTATCGAAACCAGAGACCATAATGAATACACAGTAAACTGCATTTTTAAATATTTTTACATTTTTAAAGGTTATTTTAAAAATCTAATGAAGAGTACATTACAAGAGTACTGTTACATGAGGTGACAAAGAATTCTTCCAAATAATCTACACAGCTGAAGAAATCAAACTGGCTAACAGAATAGCTGTTAAATTAGTTCCAGTCATAAGTAGAAATGTCTGTGCAGACAGCCATGGTAGACAGTGCTGGCCAAGCATGCCTGAGACCCAAATTTGGACCCACAGTGTCCCCTCCCCACAATAAGGAAAGATTAAATTTGTGGGTGGAAGCCTTCACTGGAAACTCTTCTGTTGGCAACATGTTGTACCAGAAACCATTGTACTTGATTTATGACAGACAGGAGGGTCTAAGAAAGATCACAAGTTTGAGGCAGGTGGCAGAACCACTGAGCTAAATCCCCAGCCCAAGGTCACAAGTTTGAGCCCAGCCAGGGCAACTTAGTGACTTGGTGAAACTGTCTCAAATTTAAATAAATAATAAAACTTAAGAAATGGGCTGACAACATTACATTAAATGGCCAAAAACTGAAAACCTTCACGTTAAAATCAGAAACAAGACAAGGATGCCCACTATCACCAGTCCTCTTCGATATAGTTCTGGAAACATTAGCCACAGCAATTAGACAAGAGAAAGAAATTAAAGCAAAAAAGATAGGAAAGGAAGAAGTTAAACTGTCATTATTTGCTGATATGATACTCTGCATTGAAGACCCAAAAAACTCCACCAAAAGACTTCTAGACTTAATTGACACTTTTAGCAGAGTAGCTGGATACAAGGTCAACATCCAAAAATCAACAGCCTTCTTGTACACAAATAACAGACTCACTGAGAGAGAAATTAGGGAAACAATTCCTTTCACAATAGCATCCAAAAAAATGAAGTATCTAGGAATCAATCTAACAAAAGAAGCAAAAGACCTCTACACTGAAAACTATAGCACTCTGAAAAGAGAGATCAAAGAGAGTATAAGAAAATGGAAAGATATCCCCTGCTTCTGGGTAGGAAGAATCAACATAGTGAAAATGGCCATACTACCAAAACTGCTATACAGATTCAAGGCAATGCCAATTGAAATTCCAACACTATATTTCACAGAACTAGGAAAAAAAAATTCAAAAATTCACTTGGAACCATAAGAGACCTAGAATAGCAAAAGCCATCCTAGGCAACAGACACATGGCAGCTGGTATAACAATTCCCAATTTTAAACTATACTACAAAGCCACTGTGATAAAAACAGCATGGTACTGGCAAAGAAACAGACCCGAGGATCAGTGGAACAGACTGGAAGACACAAAAACAACTCCAGATGTACTCAGCTACCTCATCTTTGACAAAGGAGCTGACCATCCCCACTGGAGGAAAGACAGCCTCTTTAATAAATTGTGTTGGAAAAACTGGATCTCAACCTGGAAAAGATTAAAACTAGACCCTTATCTTTCACCATGCACTAAAAAGTAAAATCCAAGTGCACTAAAGATCTAAATATTAAAACAGAAACACTAAACTTGCTGGAAGATAAGTTAGGCAGAACTCTGGAAGACATTGGCATAGGAAAAGACTTTATGAACAAATCCTCAGTAGCACAGGAACTAGCAGAAAGAATCAACAACTGAGATCTCATCTTATTAAAAACCTTCTGCACTGCAAAAGAAACCATCAACA